ACACTTAATTCGATCTGTTCGACATTATAATTCGCATCATGATTGTGAACATGAGAGCTGAAACATATATTAGTTACTAAATGAAGAATTTTATATAGCTCACGATATGAAAATGATATTCAAACATTTAGAAATTCCTAAAGGTAGTCAGTGTTAAGGTGTGTGTTTTAATTAATACAGCAATCATTTTTCCATTTCTGATTTCCTGATAACCATAAACATTCTGTTCCAATATGTATACTGAATACTGTGACAGTTATTCTTTTTCACCTCAAGAAACTAGTTGTAAACACTAACTTCTCACTGTTACTCTTTTCCGTTCACTGGCTCATATTAATTCTAGCTTTACCCCTGATTTTCTGATGGCAAATGTTCCACCTGAAGTTATGAAATTAGCTTCACTATCAGATAGCCATTTCACTCTCTGACCTTCCATGCAGTCTTTTCAACCTGACTCCACCACTGCCCACATCATCTCCTCCATGTCACCCTCAGCTGGGACACCCATCCCCATTGGATTCTACTCGCCGGCCTGGTGCATGATGTCTTTAAATGGTCTTCTCAGCGCATGCCCAATCCATCTCTACTTTCTTCTTCTGCATATTTCTTGGGCGATGGGTTCTTGGTTGACTCGTTTCCAGAGTTCCTCCTTGCTTATTCTTTCTCGCCATCTGATTTACAGCAACCAGCGTAGGCAGTTGTTGATGAATATCTGTTTGTTGGAAATGCTTTTCGTAACGCCCCGAATTTCTGAACCATATAGCAGCACTGACTTGAAATTGGTGTTGGAAATTTGAATCCTGTTCACGTTTATGCCGAGTTGAGTGCATTATATCTCCACACTGATTTCAGATCAATGAAAGCCTGCCCTGATTTTCCGATCCTGACTTTGATGTTCTCATCTGTGCCTGTGCCTGTGCCATCACGTGTAGTTGAAACGATGCTGCCTGTCTAGGTAGGTGAAAGAGACTACTTCCTTTAGATTTCTGCCGTTGATGGTGATTGCTGCTTGTTGTTGATGCTGTTGTGGTTGGGTATCTTCATCACCTGTGTCTTCTCTATGTTCATCTCAAGGAAATCCCGTCTTCGCTGCCTCGCCCCTTCTGTCAACTTGTTAGTTTTCGCCTGTATCTCTTCAAGTTTGTGCGACATAAGATATTAGATATAAATCATCATCGTTGGCGAAATCCAAATATTCTAGGCTCTTTTCATTGGTCAAACAGCGTATGCCCATCTTCTCACAGCTCCTCGTGGTTTCTGGATTATCCTGTCGACCATAATCAGGAGGATCATGGGTGACAGTAAGTGGCATCCTTGTCTTATCTGTCAACCTGTCTCCACTTCAGAGGCATCACTGAGCTTTGTTTTGTGAATCACTTGGTGTCTAAAGTCTTCATATAGGTGTTAAATGAGGTTGATAAAGATTTGTGGTACTCCGCAGTGTTGAAGCAGCTGCCTGCCAAATTACTTCTCGGTCGACACTATCGAAAGCCTTTACAAAATCGATGAAGTTGAGTTGACTGTCATTCTATGCTATGTCCTATGAAGATGCACAGGTTAGCGTTGTAATTTGATCCGGGTATGATTTGTTCTTCCTGAGGCCAGCCTGTTCCGATCATAATTTTGAATCCAGGACATTTTTCAGTCGCTTCAGGATGACGTGGCCAAATATTTCCCTTCAGGTGGACAGTAGTGGAGCATGATTCTGCTCCAGATTTTGCAGAGACTTAGTTGGCCCTTCTCTGGAAGTTTGACAAGGTAACCTTTCCTCCAATCAATAGGCAGGTACCTTTCCTTCATTCTTTCCTTCCAAACCTTCTGCAAATATGGTTGCTGTGACCATGTCAGCTGATGTCTATGCGTCTGTTTTCAGTGCTTATGAAGGAATTTCATCCGGCCGTGCTGCTTTCCCGCATTTCAGCAGCTTTATGGCGTAAAAGACTTCACTTCTGCTTTTGTCGGAGGTCTTGTGTTCACTGGTAATTCTGTGGCTGTTGGGCTAGGCTGCTGGTGGTATTTCTGGACAAGTGGCAGGTGGTAGTGATGGTCCATTCAACAGTCATTTGAATTGGTCAGCCCATCAATCCCTTTGATTCTCTTCTTTAACGGCAACTAGGTTCCCTTCACCAGCTTTCATTGGTTTCATCTGCGTCGGTCACTTCCCAAATAGTAACCTGGTTATTTGATATAATGTTGTCATGTCTCTCCTATCTGCAGCTTGTCTGTTCTCCTTCACTTGCCAACGTGTCGTGGAAGTGTCTTTTGTCATTCCGCGCACTCTTCTTCACTTTTTTGTCCAGTGTAGTGTTTTATTGATTGTATCCAGTTCCTCATTTCGTTGTTCATCCCGAACTACACTGGTTCATCTTCTGCTTCAACATCTTCCTTTCCATCCTCTATCAGTTTCCACGTGTCCGTGCAGATCCATTACTTGTCTTGCCTATTCTTCTTCCTTCCTTACAGGGTTATGCAGGTTTCATTCTCCATCTCTTTCAAAATAATCCAGTGTTCTTCCACACAGGTTTCTTCAGGGATATTGCTTAGTATCTCCCATTTTTCCTGATGACTGAGTGACATGAAGATGTCCCTTGTAGTTTTGTACTTCAGTTTCTGTTCCCAGTGTTCAACTTCAACTTTGACCGTCTAGCACCAACTTCTGTGAAGGCTTTCAAAATGATTTTGAAGGTAGATTCCTTGTACTAGATAGTGAGTGGTGTAAAACTACATCTGCTCTCCTTTTCGATTGGATCTTGTGTCCAGTAGGCTGCGTCTCAGCTTTCTTCACATTGAAATCAAATCTATCTGATTTTCAGTCTAGTGTGTTCATCTGGTGAGATCCATGTCACTTTGGAAATATTCTTGTGTTCGTACACACTCTCTCCAACCACCAAATCATTAAATGCACAGAAGTCTACAAATAGTTCTCCATTCTCATTCATCATTTCATCGAGTACCTCTCAACCCACGATGCATGAGTTCTCTTCCTGTGTTGTCCGCTCCCAGTTTGGTATTCATGTCACCACACACATTAAAATTTCTATGTCGCTATCTGGGGTGAGGTCTTGTCAAGTACTGATTGCAGTTGTCTGTAGAATTCCTCCTCCTTCTCTTCTTGATCTGCATTATTTGTAGGTGCATAGCGTAGCACTGCATAATTGTGAATTTCCTTCCTTTTGATTTGAATCCATCTCGCTGTCATCATCCTGATCATGCAGGAGGAGATTGCTTCCCACTGCATGAGAGTGAGTCTTCGATGCTGTTGGGACGGGGACATCATGATACCCACTCGAAAACTCAGTTTGCTCGTGATTGTCGTCTGGGTGACAATATCGGAGAAGATTAGATTATTGACTCTCGAGTTGACAGTTAGGATAGTCCACTTCCATTCCATCTGCATATTCCTCGTACATTCGTAGCATAGCACTTCTATGCCATACCTTCTCACCTCTTCTGAGATCTGGTCAGACTTGCCAGCCAGCTTCAAACATTGTTCGGACATTCCATACCCCTGTGCTTACCTACACTTTCACTGAGAAAAGAGAGGACACATCGACCAATTGGTTTCCCGAAGGCTTTCATCAACCGGCGTCATTCCGTCTCCCCGATTCCAGTGAGGAATAAGTTTATTATTATTTTTTATATTTGGTTTGTGCTTTGAAGTTTGTTTAGTGATTGGATTTGTGATACGGTTTAGGGTTGGAAGCCGTATGCCCAACCTTTCCTGTTTATCGTGGCTCATGACCGGCCAGTAACCAGTGAACTAGTTACCTAGGCGAGGTTACATGTTTAAATTAACTCGGGTATATGAAGTAGAAGATAACAGTCAAGTTGGTAGTAACAAAACTAAATCTTGGAAAGTTTTTGTATTCTCAGTAATCAATCCTAATATGTATGTGAGTAAATTGTGTTTGTGCAGGGAAACAGGGAAATAACATTAGCGTCGCATGGCGATTGGATCTTAAAGTGTTAAAATTCTCAATCAATTATGAGCTAAGGGAGAAAATAAAATAAAATGATACTGATAAGAATAAATATAAAGCCTGACGTGAATTTGCCAAAAATACGTATTCGCTTCAAGCTTTGTCTTCTAATTATCACAGTGGAAATATTCAAACATCTATTCGTTTGGAAATTTTTCGTCTGAATCCACCTGTTGCTGTAGTTTTCTTGAAACTTCCCTTATACTTGTTGCCCAAACTGAATGACAGTTTATATATATATATATATATATATATATATATATATATATATATATATATATAAACTACCTTAAAAATAAAATCCCCATATATTCCAAAGTGCATTGCTGTAAAATGCCCGTTATCGACTTACTTCAAGACGATTATCCTGAAGTTCCAATGAGAAAACATAATCTGCGGAGTCAACTAGTCGGAAGTTAAACGGATACCAGCTGAAGACCTTAATGGATAATCGGGCAATATAGCGAACTGACAAAAGTAGGAAACTATAGATCACTGAAGTCTAAGCCAGCGTCTGAACAGTAACTTGGTCACCATGATACCTGAAATTCCTGAGTTTCTGAGTGGTTGTGCACTGATGTGGATTTCACTGTGGGATTGAAACAACTGTTCCGTGCTTCCAGTTTTTTAATAGTTCAATCGACAAAAGTCCATGATGAATGCTGCCATATATATGTAAAAAGGACAAAAGTTCATGTGACTCTGATATTTTATAGATAGTTTTTATAAAATAAACTAAGGTTGGTGAGAAAATAGTTATATTATGGGCTATGAATTTCGGAATCTTTTACTTATGAATTGAAAATATTCTCCGTCAAATACATTGGTTTGAAACAATAACTTTCTAAATATAATTACTAAAAGGTAAATAAAAATTTTTTTGCAAGCTTATGCCTTTTTGTATGCTTTGATTTCATGAAGTCAACAAATCTCTTTAAGTGATAATAATTTTAATAGTGACAGTTACTTTGCAGATAATTCGATGATTCTCTCATTCATTTATTCATTCATTCCAATTAGACTTTTGGATTCCTGATGCAATGAAAGAGATGGCAACACAGTATAACAGCTTCAAACAGTCAAATATGGTATCAATCAAATATAGCTTAAATGAAATAGTTGAAACAACCTCAGTTGTAGGTATAACAACACGTGTTACTGGCAAAATGGACATGAATGAATTGGATGAACCACATTCACGTCAGAGATCTAAATCTCCACCCAAAAACAAGTATACTGACCAGATTCAATATAAAAATGGATTTAGTGAAAGTAAAAGTCGTAGTTGTTCATCAATATCTGAGAGAAACACCTCAAAATCTCATCGTCGTCTAATAAAACCAGAATTTGAGGCTGAACAGTTACAAGAGAATATTTTGGAAACACGTTTATTCGGAACTATTGGACGGGTGGTTCCAGTTCCAATTAAGAATAAAATAATTAATGAACAGGTTCCCTTTGAAATGAATGAATATAATGATCAAACCTCCAAAATTATCAAGAAATTGCATCCATTAGAACCACTAAAAGTTGATATAAGAGATTCAAGCCCAGCACAAAAGATAAACACTCTTTCAAAATCAGATTTTGAAATGACTTGTACCAAACAACTGGATGATGTTGCATCAATTAAAGCTGAAGATAACCGTTCAGATAATCCTATAACTTCGGAAAATACAAAATCTCCAGTTTCATCAATAATCCCAAATACTACAGTAAAATATCTGACTGTGGAGTCACATACAAAGGACCCGCCAAAAGCGACAATTAAAACAACAAGTGAACAATCTAAATCATCCTTAAATTATAGTGATATTCCAATGATTGATGAAGAGATAGTGGATGAAATCAAACCAGTTCCCGTATCAGTAACAACAACAGTAATGAAGACAAGGACAACAGTGTCGCCAACAACACCTATATCAACACATTCGATACCTAGTAGGGCAAGAAAAGACATTCATACTACAAAACACAAAATAACATATGAAGAAACTTTCACATCCCATGAAGAAACAATCAAAACCACAACTAGTGACATCGGTAATGTTAATCAAGGCACTAATAACTCTAACACAACTGCAAACAACACTATCAGTAAAAGACGTTGGTTTAGCGGTGGTAATGACGATGCCTTGTCAGGAGAAAATAAAAATCTTGGAGCATCATTTGTGATTGCCCAGCCATCTACAGAAGATGCAACACCAAGAAGCAGACACAATTCCATCTCTTCTTCAAAACCTATCCATATTATAAATGTGAGCAGTACAAAGTCAGTTGGACCCAAATCGAACCAATTTTCTATATGCAAAACAGATAACAATAATAGAACGATAAATATCTCATCGAGGTCAAGGGAAACAAATCCTAATGTCTCTGCATCTCGATCGAATTCAAGTAAGTCACTGGTTTATGCTTCTAACTGTCTTTATTGTTTGAAAAACAAATTTCTTTCATTAGTTGCATCAGACATAAGTTCAGCATAGTGGGATTACGAAGTATGCTAAAGTGTAAGGTAGAGTGATAGTTACTTTAAGTACAATAATTTGCTAAGCGATGACACTTCATAGATATTATCAGAAGAAGAATAACTAGGCATCAACTTGTCAACACCTCAAACGGATTGATAAGTGTTAGGTACATTCAGTGGTACTGTTTAAGTTGACTGAAATCCTGGACAGTAGTAAGATCTCAACTATTGGCCTCTGAATTAAAAGTTGGAGACTCTACAGACTAAGCTAAAGGATTCAACTACTTGACAGGTTTCACTATCACTTCAGTTAAATACATTGTGCGAAATGATACAATTAGGAATTATTTATTCAAGAAGAGATAGTTGGTTAAGATTAAAAATAATGGTTGGTCAAAAGCCAATAAGTTTTTACCATTATGTCAAGCTGGATATTTGGATATTGTTGAGTTTAACAATTTAACATAAATTGTATGACTCACTTTAAAATTACGGTGAAAAAAATTGATTTTTCAACCTAATTTTTAAACGGGCACGGTAGGGTTTTACAGTTTCCTTCGCCACAGAATCATCAAATTGAAGACTAATTTCAATTTAAACCTTTTCTCTTCTTTCTTATTCGGTTAATTATTTGAGTATAGAAATTATGGAGTTTTCAATCAACTATTGGTCAGTAACACAGCTTTCCACTATGTAATAATAATAATAATAATAATAATAATAATAATAATAATAAATTCTTTAGTCTGCTTACTTAAGATTCCTACATCAAAGTATACAAAAAACGTAGGGCCACTACAAGAGGATAGTGATATCATGGAGAGTTTTATGAACAACTCCATAAGCTTTTTAATTCGATAATCATGAATTTTTTTTCAACAACATTCATTTCGTCTACTTCTTGCATTCACCACAAAATTTAAGGTTTCATAATTCTTCCTCTAAAATAGAATTCTAATAAGCAGACATAGACCAGAATTGTGTGTAAAATATTTGTTCTGCTGACTTTCATTTAAAGTTTACTAGTATCAGATTTTCCATAGATAACCTCAAGAATATGTTAATGATGGATCGTCGCTAGCAGTGGAATCCAGGATGCGCATTTCGTCCGATTCGGGACTCGTCAGCTGGATGTACCTGCTTCCAAGTGACTGATGTTGTTCCCACCGGGATCCGGACTCGGGAGGCAGGTAAATCCAGCTGACGAGTCCCAAATAGGACGAAATGAGCATCCTGGATTCCACTGCTAGCCACGATCCATCAATAATATAATTAGAACGCAGGCAATATCGAGGCTAATAAAGACCGATCAATTCGGTCCAATCAACGACGGTATCATATAAAAACAATTATGCTAAAAACCTAAAGAATACTTGCAGAGGTTTGACTAGAGATCCAGTAGTTTTACAGTGATAACATTCATTTCATGACAAATTGACAGAAACTCGAACTTTAGTGTCGAGCATTCAATCCTCTGAAATAAAGAGGCTGAGGAGTATCACATTGATAAAAAGCAATCATCCAACGCACTCTGAGCCCAACTAGTCCTCCATATCTATCTGTTCTCTTGTTTAATGAGAAATAGGTATCTGACCCAGTTATGAAAATATCCTATATATATATATATCAAATGTTTTCCTGCTTTTGTGTGAAGATGCTTGAAATCTACCTGAATATCTGCTAATCATCATTTTGACAATCTGCGATCGCCGTGATTTGACAGACTAGTTATGAAACCGTGTGATGATTGAAGGTGAAATGGAAATTTGGACAGTGGTCGAACTCGAACCAGCGACCACCAGGTTTCCGGATCGGCGCTCTACCAACTGAGGTATAAAATCCGACTATTGACTAGGTTTTTATTTTACTTCAATAACCAAAGGTTTTGTCTGACCACCATGTGAATTCGTGACATGTTACTATCACTGGCTAGTCAGCCCATACGAGTACGATCAAGTCAGTAGTCAACAGTTGGATCTCTTGCTTCAATTGGTGGAGCACCCGTCTAGAAACCCGGTAGTCGCTAGTTGAAATCCGATTCAAATTTTCCTTGCACCTTCGATCATCACCTAGTTTATCCACTAATTCGACAATAATCGGATATTTCAAGTTGTTATTCATCGAAGACTGACATCAGTTGAAGGAACAAAGGAAATCTGGGAGCACTGGACAGCTGTTTCGTCCTAGTATGGGACTCCTCAGCAGTGCGCACCCACGACCCCACCAGCAGGGATCGAACCCGCGACCTTCAGGTTCCGCGACCAGCGCGTTACCATTGAGCCACTGGATCAGAATCCAATGCTCCATATTTCCAACTTCTGTTAGCTCACGATATAGCGCAAACCGCCACCCAATGTCATCGTTGAGTATTTGTCCTCACGGCCATCAGGTCGCGGAACCTGAAGGTCGCGGGTTCGATCCCTGCTGGTGGGGTCGTGGGTGCGCACTGCTGAGGAGTCCCATACTAGTTGGACGAAACAGCTGTCCAGTGCTCCCAGGTTTCCTTTGTTCCTCCAACTGATGTCAGTCTTCGATGAATAACAACTTGAAATATTTCCAAATCTCCACAACCCCCTCAAAATAATCGGATAGTAAATTTCGTGTTGAAAGTTATTCCAATGTGATGCAACATTAAACAAATCACCTCACCTTCATTGACTAATCTTTAAAAAATTCTCCTACTGAGTAGATGTTGAAATGAGTCTACTTTATCCAGTCAAGATTAAGAAAGTTTTAATTGTGAATGAATTTCTATAGAAAAGTTTCCATTTGATTCTATAATTTATCAGGTCAAAGAAGTGGCACTAGATGGTGAACACCGGCTATGCGCATAAAACACTCATTTGGAATGATCTTAGAACTTATAAAACAGTCATTTCAGTCTCAGTAAAACAATATATAACAGTGTCTTCTGTTTTTTACTACGGATACTTAGCAAAAATGAGTTACAGCTGTATAAAAAATTAAGCAAGCCTATAGTAAACACCTAAAACTCAGAAATGATTGAAAATAACGAAAGGAATTAAGAATACGTAGGATACATTTGAAAATTACTGAAAGTAGTACAGAAATAGAATAATGAAATATTTCCAATTCGGCAACTTAAATTTGATCTGAATTTTAGTCTAATGTGTTCATCTGGTGAGATCCATGTCACTTTGGAAATATTCTTGTGTTCGTACACACTCTCTCCAACCACCAAATCATTAAATGCACAGAAGTCTACAAATAGTTCTCCATTCTCATTCATCATTTCATCGAGTACCTCTCAACCCACGATGCATGAGTTCTCTTCCTGTGTTGTCCGCTCCCAGTTTGGTATTCATGTCACCACACACATTAAAATTTCTATGTCGCTATCTGGGGTGAGGTCTTGTCAAGTACTGATTGCAGTTGTCTGTAGAATTCCTCCTCCTTCTCTTCTTGATCTGCATTATTTGTAGGTGCATAGCGTAGTACTGCATAATTGTGAATTTCCTTCCTTTTGATTTGAATCCATCTCGCTGTCATCATCCTGATCATGCAGGAGGAGATTGCTTCCCACTGCATGAGAGTGAGTCTTCGATGCTGTTGGGACGGGGACATCATGATACCCACTCGAAAACTCAGTTTGCTCGTGATTGTCGTCTGGGTGACAATATCGGAGAAGATTAGATTATTGACTCTCGAGTTGACAGTTAGGATAGTCCACTTCCATTCCATCTGCATATTCCTCGTACATTCGTAGCATAGCACTTCTATGCCATACCTTCTCACCTCTTCTGAGATCTGGTCAGACTTGCCAGCCAGCTTCAAACATTGTTCGGACATTCCATACCCCTGTGCTTACCTACACTTTCACTGAGAAAAGAGAGGACACATCGACCAATTGGTTTCCCGAAGGCTTCATCAACCGGCGTCATTCCGTCTCCCCGATTCCAGTGAGGAATAAGTTTATTATTATTTTTTATATTTGGTTTGTGCTTTGAAGTTTGTTTAGTGATTGGATTTGTGATACGGTTTAGGGTTGGAAGCCGTATGCCCAACCTTTCCTGTTTATCGTGGCTCGTGACCGGCCAGTAACTAGTGAACTTGTAAACTAGGCGTGGTTGATAGCAAAATGAATATATGCAAATGAAGTGGGTGGTACTTAGAAGCTTCATAAATGTATACCATAGCTGTAGCTATATATATATATATATATATATATATATATATATATATATATATATATATATATATATATATATAAGTGAAAGTAATTAGGATTGTCCGTGTATGGTCCTTTTTTCATAAATGACTGAAGTCGGGATAGTAGTTTCTCCTCCAGTCTCCTTTGTTTTATAGGAAAGTAGAATGAAGTATTACATCAAGATACTTTATAGTTTATCTCATCTAGGATTACTGAACGCTAGTTTTACAGTTTTCTTCAAGTCATTAATTTTTTAAGACATAAGAAATCTCTCAGTGAGAAAGCAGTCTGAACTACGATAAATTATTGAGTCGTTTTTCAGGATTTCTTTTACATGCGATAATTCATATTCATAGTTAATACAAGTTAATTAATTGGTTTCATGGGTCAAGTAAATACTAGAATAAATTATCAATGAAATTGAAGCAATGATTGAAAGAGATGTTCCTCTGCTCAAAGGAAATTACTAGACCACAATTGGGTAGAGAGAAAAACATGTGCTACACAACCAAAAGGAGATATTGCGTTTCTGAAATACATGTCAAAATGTTGTAGAATTGCAACTTGCAAGAAATCTTCATTATAAGTAAACATCATGTTTGTACTATCATCAAAATTAACGTATTCTATTTATATCAGCGTTTTATGTTGGAAAAGATGTCGACCAAAATCGGGCAACTTGAACTTTTTATGGTTTATAGATCTTCATCAGGTTGTAGTCACTGCTTTCAGGAAGCCTGTTTTTTTTCTGAGATCCAAAGTCACAGGGTCTCATGCTTTAATTATGGTAGATGAAATTGATTTGTGAACTATATTTACGTGTTAGACTGTATCATGTATACGAAGCCATAGATGGAGGATAGAAGTTATTTTCGGGTCTTACGTGATGAAGAATATTTAGTAATCTAGGAATACTACGCTATCATCATTGTAAGCTACATAGGACATCTTGGTATATTGCTTTTCATTTCTTACAACTTAAGCGGTGAAGTCCACTATGTTTGTAATGAATCAGACCAGTTCAAGTCTCTGAGGTGAAATGAATTGTCCAAACAAGCTTTCAGGTTTATATATCAATCCATTGAATATGGCTTGCACCAAAAGCTGTTAATTAGGATGGATTACTCAGACTAATGAAGATGCTGTAAAACTTGCTAGATTTTATGTAATCAAAATGAACGACGGAGACACGATGTTATTGATTACCTCATTACTGATATTTGCTGTTAAATACGTTGCCAAGTTACCACCCTTAAGTTTTAATTCTCGAGATGCATGGAATTTCATCTAGTCGTTTATAAAACATTCACTTGATAAATGGTTTCATCCCAAAATATGTTAATCCAGGCCCACACTATACAACATAATCTTTTTTACAAGTGAAAATTGTACATCAATATACCATGATGATAACCTAACACATATTCGTAAAATCTATTTTAGCTTCTCCTCATAAGAGGAAAGCACTTCGAAGTGCTGTCGGTAAGTTTCTTTTCCATCCATTGACTCTTTCTTAAGTTATGGAGATTATTCGTACGGATCATAATCCTCATCCATATTGCTTTTTTAATATTAACTTTGATTGTGAATATAATAAAGGGTGTGCTAAATGTACTGCTTTTTTTTAAATTATCCGGTCACCTCTTAAATTAATCCTGTCAAATATGGTTTACCGTCGTCAGGCTTCTTTTTTCTTTTATTCACTGATTGAATAACCTCATTTGACGGTTAATTCTATCCTTTTGATTAATAAACACTTACATCCATTTCCCTTCCATGCATACCATTACAACCCAGGTTTATCGGTGATTTTAAGATGACAAGTATGGATTACCATTTCAGTTGATTCAATTCTTGCTTGTTTAGATAAATAAACAATGAGTAAGATTCCGATAAATTTAATCATATACTGAAATCAGAAGGTGAAGACTTCCTGTTGGAGGGAAGTAATGTCATATTTAGGTAATGTTGAATTTTCATCTTCCAACGTCACGATATCATTCAATTTTTATGTAGACGAATAGAGTATAGTCGATGAATCTTTAACTCATATAATTCTAGAAGGAATTGAAATTAAACATGAAAAAATGAATCAGTATATATATTTCTTTGTGATAATTCATGTCACACCGAAGATATTTCGTTCTCGTTAGGAAATTTAAACATCACAAAAATACGAAACATTGGTATCCATATTTTCAGTAAGACGTGTGCACTATCTCAACTGAGCTTGGCATCTCACGTTAAGAAACCGTTCTCAAGCTATAGGATCATCTCATTTTTGTCAGATATCTGTAAAGTATATGTGAAACCCTAAGATAAGTGGTGTTTTCCGTTGTATTTAAGCTTGTATCGCTCAGTATCCAACTTAGAAATCAAGATGACTGAGATGAAACTTTAACTTAAAGGAGTTAGTAAAAAACAAACCAGTTTTTATACTTTATTAGTGAAAAATGGAGTCAAAAACGTGATTGCACCACTGGAAGTTTTAAGCCGCATTAGTTACCAGAAAAAATTCATTTATTCAGACAATAGCCTCATCACTAAAGAGGGTAACGATACTAGGCCTGACAGGGTATATTTTAACTTTGGAACAGGTATAGCGAATGTTTAATATTAGACATTGTTTTAATTGATTGTTCAATGCTCCAAGAGCTATCTAAGCACAAACATGTATTACAAATTGTCATTTTACCTTCAGTCATTACTCAGTATCAATAAACACCAGTAATCCAAGAACTCAGTTTCAGCAAATATGAGTGGTCCGAAATAATGTAATTGGCTGTTTAGAATAGCATAAAATCCTGATGTAGCTTTTTTGTTTTCAAACGTGATTCTCTTCATGACCTATTATGAATCTTGCCTACTCGCTAATTTTAAACAGCCTAACGTAAGTGTTAAAAATGACCCTGATTTATCACTTAAAGCTTCCGACTTGTTTTATTTAATAAGATATTGAATCTTAGTTAATACCTCTAAATAATTACAACAGTTGTCAGTGGGAGAAACTGACTGTTTGCATGATAATGTACGTGTAAATATTGTTGAGTAGCTCTTGTGAGCACAAAATTTTCTCTTAGAAACAAGGTGATTATGAACTGCGTAGTGCATTATGTATTATTAGTTTTATTTGTCATTTGGATTCCTAGTGGAAGACACGGTTTCACTAGCAGATAGCCATTCTACTCTCTGAACTTCTATGCAGTTTTTTCCTTTAACCTGACTACACCACTGCCCACAATCATTCATTTCTTCCTCACACCGTCTCCTCTCCTCTATGTCACCCTCACCCGGGACGCCCAACTCGTCCTTTCCCACTCTCGTTCCAATCGACAGCCTGGCCTGCTCATACGTGATGTCCCTAGTCGGTCTTCTCACTTTACATCCAATCCAATCCATCTCCACTTCATTCTCCTACATATTTGTTGGGTGATGGGTTCTTGGTCGGTTGGTTCGTTGCTAGCCAGCCACAGTCAGTTCCTTGCTTATTCTTATTATTCTGGCCATCTGATCTCCATCTCCACTATCGAGTGAGTGTAGGTGACAGCTGTTGATGACGTATGTCTGTAGTTTGTTGAAAATGCCTTTCATAACATACCAAGTCTCTCAAACATCACATAGAAGCACTGACTTACTTGACTGACATTGGTGTTGAAAATCCGGATGTTGTTCACACTTTATGCCGAGTTGAGTGCAGTGCAGTAGATCCCCACATTGATTGTTTCAGATTGGTGAAGGGAGGTCTGTCGCGCTGTCTTTCCGATCCTGGTTGCTTTGACATCCTCTTCTGTGCCTGTGCCGCCCGCCACCTGTAGTTGAAACGATGCTGCCTAGGTGCGTAGGTAGGTGAAAGAGACAACTTGCTTCAGATTTCTCCCGCTGATGGTGATTGGTACTTGTTGTTGTTGATGTTGTTGGTTGGTTGGTTATCCTCATCACCTCTGTCTTCTCTCGTTCACCTGAAGGAACTCCCGTCTTCCCTACCTCTTCTGTTAACTTGTTAGTTTTCGCCTGTAGATCTTTAATTTTGTGTGACATAAGATGCTAGACATGAATTATAATCGGCGAGATCCAAATCTCCTAGACTATTTTCATCAGTCAAACAGCTTATCCCCCTCTTCTCACAGCTCCTCACAGTTGTCTTTTGCATGATCCCGTCTAGTCCAGTTCAGTAGACCACAATCAGGAATAGCATGGGTGATAATCGGCGACAACCTTGTCTTACCTATCAACCTGTCTTTACCTCAAAGACATCACTGAGATTTCCATTGTCAATCACCTGGCATGTTGCATCGTGTAGCGTACAGCTGCTATTGAATGAGGTTGATACAGGTTTGTGTCACTAAAACCGTAGTGTTGAAACAGTTTCCAAAGTACTTCTCGGTCGACACTGTCGAAGGCGTTCTCAAAGTGGATGATGTCGGGGTAGAGATGAGTTGACTTCTGTTCTATGTTTTTTCTATGATGATGTGTAGCGTTGCGTTGCGTTGCAATTTGATCCGCAAATGACTTGGTTTCATGAATGCTGCCTGTTTCGGTCGCAATTTTGAATCGAAAGCATCCTTTAGTGCCTGCTTGATGACGCGGTTTAATATTCTGCTTGGGGTGGACAAGAGTGGAGCATGATTCCACGACAGCTTTTGCAAAGACTAAGGTCTCCCTTCTTTGGAAGTTTGACAAGGTAGCCCTTCTTTCAATCAGTAAGCAGGTAGTTACTTTTCCTTCCTTCCATTCTTGCAAACCTTCTGCAATAGTGGTGTGAGGATGTCCGCTGATGTCTCTGTGTCTGTTTTTAGTGCTTCTGGATAGATTCCATCTGTTGCTGCTACTTTTCTGGCTTTCAGTAACTTTATGGCGTTCACTTCTGCTTTTGTCGAAGGGTTTGAGTGTATAATATGTGTTTTAACAAAACTTGACATTATGTAGGTTAATAGATCGTCGTAGAGTTATCTGAAAGCTGTTTTTCTCAATGAACAGAACAAAAACGGAGTCACTATTATTAATATTATTATTATTATTATTATTATTAGTCCCTTGGGTTCCTAGTGGAACATAGAGCTTCAGTAGCACGTCTCGAGTGACCTCTGTTCTCTGAGATCTTTTGAACCTGGTTCCACGACGGCCCAGAAGCTCTCATTTCCCCTCGCACGATCTCCTCCATATCACCCCCGGACGTCCAACTCGTCGCTTCCCCTGGGGATTCCACTCGACGGCCTGACGCGTGATGTCCCCCAGTCGGCCTTCTCAGGGTATGCCCAATCCATCTCCACTTCCCCATTCTGCATATTTGTTGAGTGATAGGTTCTTGGTTGGTTCGTTCCCAGAGCTCCTTGTTGTTTATTCTTTCTGGCAATGCATCTGATCTTCAGTATCGAGCGTAAGCAGTTGTTGATGAATGTCTGTAGTTTATTGGAAATGCCTTTCGTGACGCGCCAAGTCTCTGAACCATACAGAAGCACTGACTTGACGTTGGTGTTGAAAATCCGTATATCTTGTTCCGCATGCTGAGTGCAGAAGATCTCCACACTGGTTTCAGGCTAATGAACGCCTGTCTTGCTTTTCCGATTCTGACTTTGACGTCCTCGTCTGTCCCGCCACCTGTAGTTGAAACAGTGCTTCCTAGATAGGTGAAGCAGGTTACTTCCTGAAATGGAGTCTGATCTACATGAACTTTACTGTTACGTTATTGAAAACGTGTGTTGAAAAGTAATGACTTATGCTCAAAGTTTGACCGGATATTATTGCATATGTTGGGTTTGGAGTAAATGGTTGATATTAGAAATATCTCTTACCTGTATAAATCACAACGTATTTGAATAAAATAATTCCAACGTTTCTCACTAAAAAATGATTCAAGTTTTTTCTTTGCTTAAGCGGAATACAGTGTCAATCACCTTAAACTTTGTTAACCATGCGCTTTCAACAGGGTTATGTGCTTGATAAAAGACAGTTAATAAAAGGGTCTTGTAGTGGAATCCTTCTGTATCTTTTTGTGGATATATTCGAGGCTTTCAAACTCTGATGTCTTTCAATTATATATATATATATATATATATATATATATATATATATATATATATATATATATATATATGTATATATTGAAGACCTTTGTTAGAATCAACTGTGATTCTTTTCTTGATGTACTAATACAATCTCATATCAGTGCACAAGATCACACTAAAGAATTCGGAGGGTAGCTAAATATCAGTCAGAGATAATAAGTATATCATATTAAAAATTCTCATTAACCGAAGGCAAGTTGATATCTTTTCTGTCACAGGAAAAAATCTTTACAATGGTATACATTCTCCACCTTTCCTAGTATGGAATAGAACTCCTAAGTCTAGTGAATAACATTTTCGCACAGAATCCATCAGTCTGATTCTTAGAAATTTTACAGCACACATTCTGAGCCCCTTCAAGGGCCACTGATGCATTTCTTTCCCTAATCACGAACTTCTAGATCAGAGAGGTGTTTGACTACAGAACTTTAACGCATGTTGGTTGGTTGGAGGTAATTTCCAGTAAGCTCTGGACCTAAGTTTCATGCTTCCTGGCAGTTATCAGCGAATCATATTTGCAACCATGATTGAAGTGAAATCCAGACGCCACTCAGATCTGCAACCAGAGACGCTATAACTGTTCTATTTGAGCTGCTATTTACTTGCTTTAGGATGGGATCAGATCAATCGATTGGTCACTTTAGAGCAACGAGCTTTCCACATTGTCTGGTCCTGAGTTGAAATCTCGCAGAGGACGTCAGTTCCTTCGAGGTTGCACATACACCTTACTAGCGAGTGCCAACAAGTAAGAAACCTAGGTCCAGAGGTCACTGACGACGGCTACCATTTAACTAATATACATCCCAGGGCATCTTGAGGGTGAGTCTCTCAGCTTGTTACCCACATTGCAAAATGATCGGCGGAATTCGATTCACACTCGGATCAGACAATATGAAATTGGTCACTGGCTCATGGCTAGTCAATGTGCTGGTTTTTGATTAATGTATTGGACAGTAAAGTGTTTGTCATATATGTTAGAGATCCGGTGAGAATGTAAAAGTTTGTTATGTTTATGGTTCTCGAACCATCACGAATAGGGTTCGTTTTGGTTTTATAACTTGAATCGAAACTGATTTCAAGTGGACCCTTTGAATAAAATAATAATGAGTTGAAATGACATTTATTTGATTCGTTTCAGTATGAGGGAAGCATTGAAGTGAAGCGGTTTTTAACAATCTTTTCTGAGTTCTAATGACAAAGCTTTCTTTAAATGTTTTCTTTTCATTTTAGGTAGTCCATCTAGGTCATTTCATCGAACACGAAAATCTTCAAGTCCGTGTCACAAAAGAATAGTAAGAATTTACGCGTCTACGCCATTCGGTAAATTAGACAATATGATGTCTGATGCTCAGACGCAAATGATATCTCCACTGGCTACAGGTGATTTTACTGATCACTGTGTAACATGCTACGCCTTGACTGGTTTACAGTACCGACAAAAGCTAGATATGGATAGCCATAATATCACTAATAATAATAGTAATCCATATAAATCCTGTTCTTCACTGGCTATTTCAAAAGAAATTAATATTTGGACTGGACCGGATTCAGCAGAAACCTATCGTCTAGAACTGCTACTTAACAGTGAAATTCTAACAGATCAAGAGGTATCAATAAAACCTGAGTGTAGTTTAGAAACTGTCACTAAAAGACAAATAACTCTATTACACTCCGATAATAAAATTGAAGAACTATCACACCAAGTATCTGTTCTAGGTAAGTAATTCTTTTTTTATAACTGAGTTACATAATACACCGTTCTTAGACCAACACAGGAAGTCCGCTCATATAAAATATTTACATTATTTGAAAAACTGAGAAAAGTAATAGGACATTATCAACACTTTTATCCATATTCCCTAGACTTACTTTTTGGTTTATTAACATCAAAACGAAAAATAATTTTAGGAGACCTGGTTTTCACTATGGATTGAAATTGGATTGAAACTGCATCGTTTATGCTCAACAGACCGCGATGAAATGTATGAACACTACCAGTTTATGTACGGAAATACTGAAATTTTTGATTGACTGTAACCAAACTGACCTATTTAGCTCATGTCTTGGAAACTACTGAATCACTATGATTAAACGAATACACTCCAGAAAGCTCAACTTAATGAATACAAAACTCAAACTTTTGTCAAATTGCATAATGTTACGTGTTCAACAGCAATATAGGTTTGTTAATGAGGCAAACAGTGTGTTTGAGGTCATCTGACTGTAAACTAAGAAATATACAATGAAGAGTTAGCCAGATTAAGAGAAAGGTGGGTAGGTAGCTAATAAGTTCAGTCAGTGAATAGGAAACCTCTGTAATAATCGCTACGACAACTAATGTGTATTTGATTGAAATCCGCCAAGAAATACGGAGAAAACTAAATGTTTTCTGATTTTTAATGGTAGTAAGTTGAAATCCTTTTGACAGCCGTACAGAATTTCCAGAACTCTATTATAAGTTAACCTGAAGTTTTATTTCATTTGAAACTGGAAGAATCACTGAATAGTATTAGTGAAAGAGAAAAATCTGAGCTGTTATTATGTATGATTCCATGTTATTCTTTCTTGTTAAATACACCACACAGTATAATTGATTGGGCAGGATTTCGGGAAAACTTTATTGATTGTAGTTACATAAGGTAAGCAAACAATTTTTAATGATATAGATGATGGATCGTGGCTAGCAGTGGAATTCAGGATGTGCATTTCATCCTATTTGGGACTCGTCAGCTGGATGTACCTGCTTCCCAGTGAGTGGTGTTGTTCCCACCGGGATTCGGACTCGAGAACGACCGCTTCAAACACTAGGGCATTATCCATTACACCACCTAGTCACTATAGCCACTTCTTGTGAGACGAGTATAGTTTTGAGTATAATTGTTTTTATATGATACCGTCGTTGATTGGACCGAATTGATCGGTCTCTATTGGCATATGGGCTTCCGTGCGGATTCTACTGCTAGCCACGATCCATCAATAATGTAATTAGAACGCAGGCAGTATCGAGGCATCCGCACAGAGGCCTATATGCCAATAGAGACCGATCAATTCGGTCCAGTCAACGACGGTATCATATAAAAACAACATTACTAATTTTTAATGATATTCGAAATATTTCATCGAGCATTGCACCTGACAAAAATCAACACAGGACTTGGCAACAGTATTTTCCGCCTTTATCACTGACTGTAGCATAAAATGGTTATTATGTCTCCATCTACTTCTTTTATACCCTAAAGTTTAGTCTTTTAAAAGTTTTCACTCCACGTCTTTTCAAACTATACTAAATTTTAGGTCTACGGAATATGAAGAATGGCGATGAAACAGATTATATGACATGGGAGCTGCTTGGAATTTTCATCTTTACATTTATCACTCTAATGTTATCATTGACAGTAGCTTTCATTTGTTTAGATGGCAAACCTTGTAATTTTGGTAATTTTTTAAAACATACCTTTGACTTCTTTAAACGTAAATAAGTATTTTTTATTGTCTTTGAATAAACAGAGAAGCGTATTCATAGAAGGAAATGGATTATAAAAGTGAATACTTCATATTTATAAACCAGTTCCAGTTGCTTTTATTTTGCACATAAATCTTCTCTTCATCTTCACTCGATTCTCATTTCGCAATTATTTTACACAATTAAACTTAATCCTTATTTTTCGCTCAAATATTCAGTTTTGTTATAGCTTCACTCAGGAAAATGATCCCTCCCTTATCTTACTATTTACGAATTACCATAACTTAGTGATTTATTTTGATATATATATATATATATATATATATATATATATATATATAATTATGGTTTAAAATATTTTTGCATATTTCATCTCATTTAAACGTAACATATGGCTAGCCTCAAATTACTAATATCACTTGATAGCATATATTGCTCAAATATTTATACATGAATTCCTGATATCACTTATAGTACCAAATCAGATAAAATGGTGTAGTTCAAATATTCTACTTTTCAAAGTCACACTGAAATTTCACAAGTGGATCTACCTTAATTCAACCTACATCAGTGTGGATAATGTATTTTGTAGACGTTTGAGTTTAAAATAGAGAGTATAGTAGAAACAGGAAAGAAAGAAAAAAAAACTGCTTTAAGCAGTGAGAACTGACTCAAAGTCTTGAGTAATCTAATTAAAAAAAGAGACTGAAAAACAAGAATTTTTACAGAAGACAAAATACAATTCATAGATGAAGATTTTCCTTCTGACGATGCCGCTTACTAAAGCCATACAATTGTATTTATAAATACTAGAAATAATTGCCAGTCTGTTACTAATCAACAGGGTCATGTTGTTACTATAATGTCCAATATTAGAATAAAATATCCTATCTAAAAGCAGAAGGAAGTTACGCAACAAAACATTTTTATTAAGATCATGTAAAAAGAAAGGACCGAACGCATGTCTACACAGAGTTTGGGTTGGAATCGATGAATGTCTAGAGTTTCTACTATCCAGAATTTGTGGATTTATACTCCTTTTGAAAGGTCTAATATAATATAAGAACGAAACACAGGCAGTATCGAGGCATCCGTGCAGGAACCTACATGCCAATAGATACCGATCAATTAGGTTCGATCAACGATGCAATAATCCAAGTAACAGCATAAAAACTGTACCCATAAAAGAACAAGTGGGTGTCATGAATTGGTGACCTAGTGGATGACGCTCTGACATTTGAAGCGATCCGCCGTGAGTACATGTCTTAGTGGAAATGAGTTCACTCAGCCAGAAGCAGACACATCCAGCTGACGAGTCCTAGGTAGGATGAAAAGTGTATCCTAAATTTCACCGCTAGCAGATTTCCATCATTAATATAAGTTCCGCATGAGTTTGAAAAAACTTATGAAGAGGAGTTCCAGTGGAGTTGCATGACATGAACTGACTAAATGATCTTGTTGCACTGACTAAAGATGTTTCACTAACCTTTGGTTTTATTGAGCAGAAAAATGAAGTGATGTTGAGATAATTTATTAGTTTATTCAATCGAAGATCTACAGGCTAAAACTAACAAGTTGGTAGAAGAGGCAGGGCACGGCGGCGAAAACGGCACTTCCTTCAAGTGAATGTAGAGAAGACAGAGGTGATGCAGATAACCAACCAACCAACCAACAACAGCATCAACAACAAACACCAATCACCATCAACGGGAGAAACCTAAGGGAAGTAGTCTCCTTCACCTACCTACTCACCTAGGCAGCATCGTTTCAACTACAGGTGGCGAGCGGCACAGGCACAGAAGAGGATATCAAAGCAACCAGGATCGGAAAGACAGCAAGACAGGCTTTCACTCGTCTGAAATCAGTGTGGAGATATAATGCACTCCACTCAGCATTAAGCGTGAACAACATCCGGATTTTCAACACCAATGTCAGTCAAGTAAGTCAGTGCTTCTATGTGATAGTTGAGAGACTTGACGCGTCACGAAAAGCACTTCCAACAAATTACAGACATACATCATCAACAGCTGTCACATACGCTGGCTCCATACTGAAGATCAGATAAGATCAGATGGCCAGAATAATGAGAATAGGCAACAAGGAACTCTGGTTGGCAACAAACCAACGAAGCAAGAGCCTATCACCCAACAAATATGGAGGAGAAGAAAGTAGAGATGGATTGGATTGAGCATACACTGAGAAGGCCGATTGTGGACGTCACGTGTCAGGCCAGGCTGTCCAGTGAAATTGAAAGGGGAAAGGATGAGTTGGGTATCCCAGCTGTGGGTGATATGGAGGAGATGATGTGAGGAAGAAATGAAAGGTTGTGGGCAGTGGTGGAGCGAGGTTGAGAAGATTGCAGAGAAGAGAGTGTAATGAAGGCATGCTACTGAAGCCGTATGTTCCACTAGAAACCAATGGGGAAAATTATAAATAATAATTCATTTGTTCAGTACCCCGACATTATTGATTGAAATAATGAAATCAAACGAGTTGAACACAGTATAAATATTAAGATGGTTTCTGAGTGATTGTTGTATAATGGAAGGTCATTTGCCGATATGACGAGCTGCATATGCTTAAAATGGTACAAATTTGGAAGTTTTCTTCATGCCCTTTTAGATGACCATATGGTAAAAGAAATATCACAAAGGAAAATTGTAGCTGCTTGATTGGTTTGGCACTAAATGTTGATCCATTGTTCATTTCTTCAAAATTTCTAGTGAACTCTTTCTTTATTTGATCAACATAGATTTAGTAAATTACATCGTCCTAAGGGAAGCTTTTTCGATGAATTGTCTGTTTTTGCCATCTTTATGACACAGAAAGTATCTTTTACTGTTTCATTTAACTGTCTAGATGGCTCTTGCGTTATTCATATGAATTGTTCAATACTAACACCATTCTAAATTCAATATGTGTATGGTACAGACGAGTTTCAATAACCTTCAATTCCACTCCGTTCAACTGGTTCATCATTAGTTTGAATTCTTAGCTAACATATTACGATTAAATCTCTCATTCAGTAGACTTTTGCCTGGAGTTATTGCGTTTTTGCACCAGCAAAACAGGTCTGTTAAGTTATTACTTTACAGACATTTAAGTGTCTATTTCGAAAATAATAATAAAATGGACTGTGCCTAAATGGGTGGGAATATGTCATATAAATATCGTGAAAGGAGTTGAGCGACGTCAGGTTGACTTATTATATCGGTAAGATTTAATATAATCCCAGTGTTTTTAGAAAGTCTAAAACAATACTTTCTGAACGTTTCGCTGTGTATGATACAGCTTCTTCAACAGAACCTTGTTTTCGAATTTCTAAAGACGCTGGGATTGTATTAAAACTTACTTATATAATATGTCATATAAACTGAAGCAGATTTACACAGATGTCCATTAGATAACTTTGTTTTAATGCTTCCTTCTTAGTTCTTCATTGCGTTAGCCATTGGGGGTGAAATAACATTTGCATGCCACCGGTAAGCAATTTAACCTTAAAAACTTGGTACATAAACCGTACCTTTTGTTCATCATTCTATCCTAGCCTAGCATTCTGACCTTGTTTCGCATATCACATTAGTACAAGTTTATGAATAATGCATTGGGTTTTCATTATTGCCTCAAAGTATTCATAACTGGTGATTTTGCTTGGTTGTGGCTACCAGAAGAATCCAAGACACACGTTTCGTCCTATTTGGGGCTCGTCAGCTGGATGTCCCTGCACCCAAGTGAGTGATATTGTTCCCACTGAGACACGAACCTCGTACCCATCGCTTCAAATGCCAAGGCGTAATCTACTATGACATGGAAGCACGATAGCCACTTCTTGTACAACGGGTATTAGTTATTACTGTTGACTGATATACTTGTAATACTTGTAAAGTCAAGTAAAACTACCATAATTTACATTCAGGCAATATCAAGGGATCCGTGTAGGAGCCCATATGCCAATAGAGGTCGAACAATTCGACCCATTGGTAACCTGCTCTGAGCAAATAATGTCGAAATGAAACTTGGGCCAATACTAAATCATTCGTTCACAGAGCTCACATGCCACGAGATACTAATTTTTTTCGGTCCTGTCTTGTAACCAGCGGGAAATTGCAAGGATCAACAAGTATCCAGAACATAGTTATTATGAGTACTCTGCACAAAATCGGGCACCGAGTTTTATTTAATCATTGATGAAGTAAGTTTGAATATAACACCAAAATACTTAGAAAATCAAAACAAGATTTTTCCTGAAGTTTCTCTGTGTGAGCCACAGCTTCTTCAGTACTACATATATACTTTTAAATTTATTCATTTATTTACATCGATGATTTTCAATTTGGATACTGTTTCATTGTACGGTAAACGGAACTGGCACACTACTCTATCATACGCCATAATGTTTTATCAGTTGATCATTCTAGCTAAAGCGTAACTGATCACATTCTTTACAGCCATGTAGTGAAGTAAAATGAGTTTGCAAAAACAGTAAATAGACATAATAAAGAATCAACCCACTTACATGCCCCAACCAAGTATCATTTCAATAGTTATGTAATCTAATAATGTTTTACAGATAGATGTACAAACAGAGAGGTAGACGGAAGGATGCACAATCTCCCCTGAATGTATACTGGTTTAAACTGATATGCTTTCACCAGTTCAAATAGAGTTAACATAAAAAAGTAAGAAGTCACTGAGAATAGTTTCATGGTTTTTCTTACCTGCTACAGAGGTGAAGTACATCTGTACTAACAGTTGTAAGGTTTTTCTTATATTTCTGTTGTCAGACCAATATAACCCAATTGGAATGATGGACAATATTTGTAGGTCAGGTGGATGGTCTTAGTTATATTGCATTCTCTAAGCTAAACGATGTATTCATGAAGGTTTCATTATCTTTCTAGATAATATCTTCAGCACTAATATCAATATGAAGTCATGTAGATACATGATATTTAAAAACTGTTATCTGTGATGAAAATCAAAGTTAACTCATCGCAGACTAAAATAACAGTAATT